GGGTGGAAACTGCAGCGAGCCAGTTGAAGGCAACAGGTGGCTGTGGAGGAGTGGGCTCATTCGCACCCCCTGGCTTGTCTCCCAGAATTTAGAGATGCACGACCGGATGGAACACCTGATCGAAAAGCAGATCAGCACCCAGCACCACGGCAATTTCAGCACTCAGACCGGGGCCAAGGCAGACCACCGGGGCAGGTGAGCATGGAGGCTGGCACCCAGACGAGAAGAGGCAGGGACAGGGCTAAGGCAAGGACGAGGCTCCTCTAAACCCAGGTGCTCCACTGCCCTACCACCACCACCACTTTCTAACCAGCTCAGGTAGAGGCTGATGGTGCCATGACCCGGAGGGTGTGCATGCCTCACACCTTGCGTAAACATTGGATGTGCATCTTATGTGCCTGTTTCTTGGGAGAGGGTCTTCTCAGGGATTTCCCTGCCCCAGCCACTGCCCTTGGATGTCAGCAACAAGAAGCATCTCAAAGCATTTGGGACCCAAGCATCAACCAGTGCTGCTCTGGCTGCCCGGGCAGACATGGAGGGAGTCCCCTGGGAAGGTGGGCAGTGACACAGCTCTGAGTGCTTGCAACTCTCTTTTCAGCATCAGGATATCCAAGCCCCCGAGCCCCAAGCCCATGCCTCTCATCCGAGTAGTGGAAACCTGAAGTGGACAGAGATGGGCAGTGGACACCGCTGTTGCTGCCGCCTCTTGCCTGTGGAGAAGCCTGCCACCCTGTAGGCCGTTAGCGCAGACTCTTGACTCTTGTTCCCTGACTGCTGGCCGGGCTTCGCACTCATGTGCCCTGTGTCCAAACTCCTCTCCCCGGGATGCCAGGAAGGCAGAGGGAGAGTGCCTCCTCTGGACACCGCAGCCCTTTGGAAGCCTTCGCCCCACCAGCAGGAGCCAGGGCGGTCTCCTTAGCACCATAGTTAGTAGTTTTCTCTGGAGCAGAGCCTCCCTACTGTTGTAAACAGCTGGCCGGCCCACTGCCCCAGAAGCCAGATCCTCGCCAGCTCGGGAGGGGTGTCAAGATTTGCCTCAGCCCTAAAAACTGGAGACCCCAATGTCCACGGTGACTGCAGAGTGTCTGGGCCAAGGAGTGAAGCTCCTACTGCAAACACGTCTCGGTTCTTAGCAACCAGCGGTTTGTTGTTCTGTTGGCCTCACCCTCCACCCAGGCTGCACTGGGCCTCCTGTGGACAGACACGGGGCCTCCTGGTCAGGGCCTGGTCAGGGTCAGGGAGCCTCATCTTTGATGGGCTTGTTTTTTTCTGGGGAGATGGGAGTGTACATTCTGGGCGGCGCTTTGAGCAGAATGATTTTCTTGGACCACGAACAGCTACGCGTGACTTCCCTCTGCTGTGAAGACTCCCAGAACCACTTCAGATTTCCTGTAAGATGCAGCGCCAGCCACACCCCGAGCTCCTCCACTGGAGCCTGCAAACTGTCCTCTCTGGGTCCCGGGAAAACCCCAGTTGTATTTATTTTTCTAAGTTATTGGTGTTTTCGCTTATACTTCGCCATGGATTTGATACCAAAGTTCTGCAGCCTTCTCTCGTGATGCTAGGGTTTTGCTCCAAACTGGAGAAAGAGCCGTCCCACCGGAAGTGTGGACTTTGGAATGACATTGTCACTGGAATCTCCTGCTGCTTTTTCTGGACCTCTCCTCCTCCCAAACCCCGCCCTGCCCTGTTCCTCGGGAAGGCAAGGGTGTTTTTCCCCCCAGGTGTGTCCTGCGTGTACACATTTCTGATGGAAGAGGACAACCAGGACTCGGGGAGAAGGACTGAGTTCTGCCCGGGCTCTGGATGGTCCACAAGCCCGGCTTTCTCCAGGGCTCTTCCTGCAGCCCTACAGAGAGAAGTGTGGAAACAGACACATTACAAGTAAGCATGGATTAAGTACTTAGGCTCCACTTGGCTGAAATCCAGAAGCCGTAGGTCTGTGCGTGTCTGTAGCTCAGGCCTTGTGTACCCTGGAGTGCTGGGGTTTCAGGCCTCTTACTCAATGGTGAAATGAGGGATTTGGCCAGATGATCTCCCTGGAACCTTCCAGCTCCGATACATATATTTGGTTCTTGTTTTTTTGTTTTTTTCCTTCTGTGACATATTCTTTGTATAGTGACTTTAATAAATTATGTTAATGCCCCTCTGAGCTCCTGGCCTGGTTTGTTTCCTTCTTTGGGGGAGGATGAAAGAGCAGAACTTTAATACCCTTGAAGGTGAAGATCACGCTGTTAGCCGCTTCTGGGAGGTGTGGTCCAAGCATCACCAACCCACGATACGAGTGCTTAGAGCGAGGGTCCTCAAACTTTTTAAACAGGAGCCAGGTCCCTGTCCCTCAGACCCGTTGGAGGGCCGGACTATAGTTAAAAAAAAATTATGAGCAAATAACCTATGCACACTGCACATATCTTATTTTGAAGTAAAAAAACAAACGGGGCTAAAACATCCGGCAGGCCGGATAAATGTCCTCGGCGGGCCGGGGGCTGTGGTTTGAGGACCCCTGACCTAGAGGCATGCGGGGCCATGGTGGTCAGTCCTCCCCATAGGGGGTGGCCCCGAACATTATTAGCTCTGACACTGAATGGTGTGGGAGCCTGGAGGAATCCCTAAGCTCCACCGATGTGTGTTCCCATTTGGAGAAAAGGGCTGGTAAGAGCCAAGCACTGTGATTGCATAGAACCCGAGTTAGCAGCAGTGGCGTTGATGAGGAAGCCCCTGTCCTTAGCAGAAGTGAAAAGAACTCTGGGAATGCCGACTGCCATTGTCTAAGTTTGGTTTTTGGCTATCTCTAAGCAGCACTCAATTAGTCCAATTATCCAGCACTCAGTTTATTTTTTCCCTGCCAAGAAAGCAATTGACTACAGGCCTGAGTTTACACAGTCATCTCTGGACCCGAGAAACGGAACGATAGCCCGTTCATCTCTAATCCTCTTTCTTCAGCTTTCCTCTCCTGAACGTGTGTGCATTTTTCACATAGGACTTTCCCTCCTCCTCCTGCTTCTCAGCTAATTCACACCCAGGCTTCAGAATGCACTGGGAACCTTCCACTCCAAATCCAGAGCGTCTTTTAACACCTCCAGCGAGCACTCTTCCTCAGGCAGGCTCCTTTGGGATGGGTGGATCTCTGCGGGGCTTGCCTTGGGTAGAACAGGACTGTGTAGAAGCAGGGTGGGGCTGACGGTGCCAGGCAGGCTCACCAGCCTGGATGAAGATGAATGAGCAAGCTGTCCTGCAGGGAGGAAGGGGAGACTCCCAGGCTTGGGGAGATGAACAGAGATTGGGGCTGGAGATGACCCTGGAGTCAAGGCTGACGAGCACCAGGGCCCTGGGAGGTCCTTGAACAAAACAGGGCCTCCAGGGGTATTTCTAGAGTTTGGTTGGGCCCCTGCTGAAAGGAGCAGAGGCATGCCAGGGAATGAGCCAGGGCATTGGAAGAGAAAGCCCTGGTGGCAGAGTGGGTAATGCTTTGGGCAGCAAACCACAAGGGCAGTGGTTTGAACCCACCAGATACTCCCTGGGAGAAAGATGAGGCTTTCTGCTCTTGTAATGGCTTATTTGTCGCCTCCAAAACCCACCGGGGTGGTTGTATGCCGTCCTCCAGGTGTCCTCATGAGTTGGAAACGATCTGGAGTGGGTGGCACACGACCGTTTGTATTTGACTACTAACCTAAAGGTCGGAGGTTCGAGCCCAGCCTGTGATAACCCGGCAGGAAGTCCTGGCTATCTGCTTCGCTAAAGGTGGTTCTGGGCAACTTCCACGGAGTCCGTTCTAAGTCCGTGACCCGCGGTGACCGTGCAGCGTCGCCCCATCAAGTGCCCTTGGCTGGTCTATGGGAGCAGGTCGTCAGGTCTTCACTGGAACCACTGCCAGGTCCGAACCCACAGCCTTTCCGTTAGCAGCCTAGCACTGAACTGTCGCACCACGGGGAGGAATCCTCTCCATAAAGATTCCAGCCAGGAAAAACCCGACAGCAGTTCTCCTCTCTACCCCCGGGGCTCACCATGAGTTGGAATTGACTCAGCAGAAATGGGTTTGGTTTTCTGGGTGGTACAAATGGTCACATACTAGCCAAAAATTTGACGGCTTGAGCCCACCCACCGGCGCCTCAGAGGAAACACAGCCTGGGAAATCCTGGAAAAGTCCACTGCTACTCCAACACGTGGTCACCAGGAGTCCAAACCAACTGAGGGCCAAGTGGGGGTGGGGGCGGTGCCACCAAGTGGGATCGGACTCCCAGCGACCCCTACGTGGAGCAGAAGGAACCACTGCCTGGCCCCAAGCCGGCCTCCTGATGGCTCCAGATGTCCAGTACAAAACGGGGAATGGGAAGGGAATGCAGTTCGGGAGAAGACGGTCATGTCTTAGCAGCCTTTTCAGTCGGGCATGGAGAATGGGGGAGAAGAGAAGGATCGGGCTGAGCCCAGGGCCTGGGAAAGAGCAAGCAGCTCCCGCCTCTCACCATGCTGTGTCCTGCTGGCGCCGGCTCCGCTTTGTGCTTTAATGTCTGCTGAAGGGAGGGAAGACTGACTGCCTGGGCCCTTTGCCACGCAGGCCGATCCCTTGAGCTGAGTGTTCAGAGCTGCCCAGACATGCAGTCATCAACGTTCTCCTGTAAACCTGAGCTGCAGCCCCGACGTGGGAAAAGACGCTTGCGGGAGCCCTCCTGGTCTCCCCAGGGACTCCCCAGGCCTCCCAGTTCCCCAGTGTTCTTCCCCCCAAAGGAGACACTGCAACTTGTTTTGAGTTTGTAAAGGACACTGAGAAGGGCCAGACCTAATGGGCTCGTTTTCCTCTCTGCTGAGAGTACCTCCCACGACGACACGCTCCCAGACATGCGTTGGGAAGATGCTCGGACAAGACAGGAGTTGCTGTCCAGTTGATTCGGAGGCCAGTGGTGCCCCGAGTAGACACAGCAGAGCAGTGTTTCCGTGTTGTGTGCAAGGCGCCTTTGGGGAGCAGATCACCAGACCTATCTTCCGAGGAGTCTCTGGGTGGGCCCGATCTGCCAACCTTCTGGCTAGTGGCCCAAGTGCTTCGTCATTTGTGCCGCCCATGAGCTACAACTTCAAGCAGGATGCTCTCCTTTGGGTTAGAACGGCAGTTTTCCTTCTTCAATCGCTTCCTCGTTGTGTGTGGCTCTTTGTCACGGGGCCTCTAATCATCCCCTGGGCTCCGTCATTCTGCAGAGCCAAGCATTACCGAGCTTGGGCTGAGCGTGTTCAGGCTGTGACCCAACAGCAGATGTTCCCCTAGGGCCCTTGGCCTCTTTTCCACGCTTCCATTTAGGACGCTAGCTCTGCAAGGAGAGATTGTTCCCGATTTTCGCGGCCCTATTTCTAAGCATCGTGGCCTTAAAACTCAAAGCTGGAGCCGTGCATACCCTTCGGCCTTCCTTTCTCCGAAGAAAATCCGTGTCCGGTCTTGGGGTGAGGGTGTTTCGTAAGGGTGAGTCACTTCTAGCTCAGTGTGCTCTCTGGGTTGGCAGTGAGGCCTACTTTGAGGTCTCTTCAGATGTGTGTGGCCTTCCTGTTACCTGCTTTCCCCCCTGGAGCCTTCTGGGATATGAGATTGAGGCTGGCTGGTGGCAGGATAATTTATTTTCTGACAGGGTGTTGGTTCTAGACCGCAGGATCCAACAGCTGGTGGAAAGGAAGTCAGTAGTTCTCATGACCTAATCTATCAGTTTGGTGCCCAGGGTGCCCCACACGACACACCCAGCCCGGGCCGCCCTCTCACCAGGCTCCTCCCCTCCCCCTCCCCCAGGGCCTCTGCAGCAGTGCTTTCCAGCCTGTGGGGGAGGTCACTGCCCCCAAATGGAAAGGAGTGGAAAAAGTCAAGAGTGCTTTATATACTACGGTAAATGAAAGTATTGCTACGAGGATCTAGTTCATATATACATGGGCTTATTCCGAACCAAACGTGTTTAAACATGTCTCCCTGTGAACAGTCAACTACAGACAAGTTCTTTCTAGAATACAGTGAACCCTCGTTTATCGC